TCATACTATATATATACACTATATATATCATACTATATATGTATCATACTATATACGTATCATATTATATACGTATCATACTATATATCATGCTATATACATATCATACTATATATATCATATTATATATTATACTATATATATATCATACTATATATAGCATACTATGATATATATATGATATATATATATCATATATATATGTAATTTGTAACCTCTTTGTCCTCTTGTGAAATGTTTCGGTGGTTGGCAATACATACAAAAATCAGTATCATCACTGGCTCCAAATGTCCCATCAGGCAACATCAACTTGCTGATGGAGTTATTGGGGCCTTTGCCGAACATGGGGGAGTTTCATCGCTCTCGGGCACTGTCCAGAAGGGTAGGACAAAGGGTCGTGACCCCCCCGCGGTCAGACTCACTTCTCTGCTATGAAGATATTGGGCCAGACCTCATCCACCTCATTCCAGGGGGTCTCCTGGCGGTCTTGGACCAAGGCCCGCTGCAAATCCAGGATGCAGGGGGTGTTGTATAGGCTGCTGTCGTCCATCTTCTCCCTAACACGGTTGTACAGGTCCTCCACCAGCAGGTGCTCGGCCGACTCCAGCATGCCTGGACACTCTGCCTCGGCTCTGATCCCCCGCGGCTTGAATTCTAGAAGGGACAGGCAGCATTCTCGTCAAAGAGTCAAGAGCACCATGATGCTCCCTGTTCCTCAGGAGAATCCACTCTTGGCCAGTCTGCTGCCAGGACTCTGGACACGAACTCAAATGCCAGGAAGGACTTAATGAAGGCCCGGGGTGGGGAGGGGACCCGCACTGGTCTGGACACTTGTGGTCAGGGCCAGCAGGAGCAGAGGTAGATTGGTATAGGTGAAGGGACACTGTTTTTCTTTACTCCTTCCTGTATTTTTCTCAAGCTGGCTGACAACTTCTTAGACCAAGGTCCTTAAGTACCTGGTATATGTCTATTCACACTTACAGTTCCCACGGTGCTCCATACAGGGTGGAATCATTTACCAAATGAATAAATGACACTCTTTCATAACGTAAGTCACTTTATTAGTTTGACTCCTTTACATACGTAAGGCAAATAATCTTGGGAAAAGTAAAACTTTAGCTTTCACGTGCAATCACTTTCCCATACATGTTTAATTAGTTTATTTCACACGTTTTCTGCTTCTTCCCACTGGCGTCCGAGCGCCCGTGAGTCTCAGCCTCCCAGCTTTCCAACAGGTGGCAAAGGTTTTGCCAGGAACTCCAATGCCAGTCCCAAAACAGCGCTCAGGGCCTTTCTGCCAACAGCTCAGAAAAACTCAGATTCTAGATGAGTTCAAAATCCATTCACCCACCTCTCGAGCGAGCCTCTCTCTCCTGCTCCTAATATTTTTGTTCTCAATTGATCAAATCTGGGGGGAGAGTCAGATATTTCTTTCTCTGAGAAAGTCTACAAGAATAGTGGGGGTGGGGGGGCGAATCCTTCCTGCCACTTAGGAGCCAAAAATCCTGACTAGAGATGGAAGAAAAGAAAGGCGTGTCGCCTGTGTTGGCCATCTCTTTCCCTGATGGGTGAAAGCCACATGTGGCACATAGACGAGGCCCAGCCCCTCGCAGGAAAAACAGTACAACGGGCTTGCTGCTCAGGGTCTTCGGGTCCTGGGAGTTCTGGGTTCTAGCACTCCCTTTCCCTAAAGCCCTTCTCTCTCTCTCTCTCTCTCTCTCTCTCTCTTCCCTTTCCCACACCACCTGATGGGCCCCCATATCCCTGTGTCAGATCTCAGCTCTAAATGCTCTCTGATCTCCGTTTCAAAAGCAGAAAGAAGAAAACCCCTCCAATCCCAGAGCTTTATTTTGTTTAAAAATAGATGAATCATTCCTATTTTCTCTACCACTCAGTCTCCCCTGGCTCTCCTGGGATCTTACTTAGCAAATGTAAAAGCCCCTCTCCTTTCCTCCGCGAACTGAGATGGCTCTCCTTTACTACATGTAAAAAATAAAACTCCCTGATGCTTCATGAAAATATACATACAGCATTGTCTTCCTCAGCTGTTTATAGAGCAGGTCGCTGTCTTGGTATTTCCCTTTCCAGTGGAACAAATGTCCCAGTCCCTCATTCCTGCTGGTGGCCCCTGCTTACAGTAGGTCTCTGGTCCACCCCTCAGCCTGTTTCAACTCCACCCCCTCGCCCTGCATTCATTTCTCCCATTTATTTCTGCAATCTAAGGTTTCTTCAGAAGAACGCATATGCAGACTTTCATGAGAATGAAGGATTCTTCAACAATCATTTTTATCCCTCTGATCACTGGTGAGCAGGGCGATGGCTTGGAATATGACTTGATACGTTTTTCCTTTCTCTGTCATAGACTGTTTCTTCCCCTACTACCCTTCCGCCACGAAGACCGAGGAAACGTAAGCTTAATGCCCCAGACAAGAGGAGAGTAGCTAAACCCTAGAATCGAAGAAAGGCTTTCGATTTCCACCTACGTGTTCAATGTCCTGTAGACGTGTCTATAGCATTCTATAGGCTTGACAGTGAAGTTTTCAAGAGGGGAAATGGTTTTCTCACAACTCCTAAAGCTGGATTTTCGCTCAGCAAGAACTCAGGCACGGAGGGGGGCGGGTCCAGAGAGCGAAACACAGAGCAGGGATGATGCAGGCTGGAAGGTGAGGGAAGTTCCCAAACACACAGGAGGAAACAAAAAACAAAACTTCCGGGCTGAGGGTGGTCCCTGTGGCAATTTAGAGAGATCTGGACACTGGGTGAAGCCACTTTGGTCTGCCTGGAGTAAGAGAACAGAGACCCCAGATAGGGTGGTGAAATAGAAAAAAACTTGAGAGTTCCTTAAAAAGATGGGGCCTCCCACGGTGCCCAGATCGCAAGCAGAGGCAAATGGAATTTCTGGCTCCTCGCGAGGTGAACAGGAGATCTAGGCGTCCTCAGGGACCCTGTGGGGACCCAAAGAGCCCAGAACTGACAAAGACCCGGGATTATATGGAGCAAGCAGCATGCATGGTTCTCACGACCAATGGCCGGGGACCGGATTGTGGCCACCATCAAGCGGATGTTGGATTAAGCCCAAAGCCCAGCAGGGCCCTGTGTCATTAGCGACATCCCACCAGCAGTGACAGAGACACCCAGGACAAAGGAAGAGGAAAAGAAATTTGCTCAAAATTGATTAGAGGGGCGCCTGGGTGGCTCAGTCGGTTGAACGTCCGACTTTGGCTGGGGTCGTGATCTCGAGGTTTGTGGGTTTGAGCCCCGCGTCAGGCTCTGTGTTGACGGCTCGGAGCCCGGAGCCTGTTTCGGATTCCGTGTCTTCCTCTCTCTCTGACCTCCCCTGCTCATGCTGTCTCTCAAAAATAAATAAGCGTTAAAAACGTTTTTTTTAAATTGATTAGGAAAAAAAAAAATCCATCCAATCAGGATGAGTATGTTTTCTGCTGTGTGCATATTAACATTTCTCCCCTCCCCCCCTTTCCCTACCTCCTCCTTATTTATATTTCAGATTGAAAACCATTTCCAGGCACTAGTGGAAATGCAGATGTAAATCTGGATATCCCTTTGAACAGAACGTTCTGGGTGCTTCTGGTCACTTCTTGGGCTTTCGGGTCTGTGTCTCTAGCATAAGCCACCCCAGGACCCCTGAGATTAACTGAAAGGACTGAATGGAAGGCCATAGGAGCAGACTGGAAATGCCTCCCCGGCTGTTGACTCGAGAGAGCTATTCATTCACCCTGATACATAAGAATTTCCACCTCCGCCTCATGAAGGTGGATAGTGACTTGTGTCGGCAGAAATGCCTCCTCGGATCCGTTCCTCTTAATGTGACGGGCAGCACCTGAGAAGCACACGGACATCTTCCACGGGGCCCCTTCCGAGGGTCCCCAGAGGAGTCGCGGACTCTCCCTGCTCCCAACCGCCTTCTGATGGCATTACCTTCATTGATGATCTGTTTAGCTGCAACAGCCGAAGACAGGTGAATGGGTTCCATGAAGATGCTTTCTGTTTCTGCATCTGAGACCATGGAGTACCTGAGAGAAGAGGACATCTGTGTGAGAAGGTTCTGGGCGGCATCTGAACCGGAGCCGCTCTGACTAGACGAGACCCCTGGATCTGACTTCAGGCATAGCGCAAAGCAACGAGAGATGAAGGGAATGCCTTCCTCAGTGTAGGGAGCCCGAGAATGCAGAACCCCGTGACGCTGTCGCCACCTGTGTTCAGACCGGAGCTGGCACCTGCGTGAGCTGGTGTTTAACGACGAGGTAGTCCAGGCTGTGGACGGAATAGTGTCTGTGGCCGGGGAGAGTTTACCCTGATGTGGCCTCACCTTCTCTACTGGGTTCCCATCCTCGGCTGTAGTGCTGTTCATTTGTTCCCTCTCGCCCCCGTTCCTCTGTTGTCAATATCATAGCATGTCCCTAACCAAGGTGCTGCTGGATTGGCGGGCTGGGTAGACGGCCACCGTTCCCTCCATGCCCCACATCTTTCCCCTGTTTGAAAGAGAACGGGCTCACAATAAAGGGCTGGCATGGGGAAATCCGAAGGTGTGCTCAAATGCACAGTCCTGATTCTCAATATAAGCAATCAAGGTTCAGCCCGAGACCAGGGATGCAATAAAGTAACTTAGGTAAATGTCAAGGCAATTTTTCCAGAAATAATTCAGCAGAGATGTCAAAAAGGATCTGAGGAACGCGGCGAATTACGGGCAGAAACAAGGGTAGGACGCAGGATGGCGGTGGGTGCCCTCCCCCTTAGTGGGGGGGGGTTCTTCTCTTTCCCAGGTGTTGGGTGAGCTTTGGGTCTTTTTTTTTTTTCTTAGTCTTTCCTTTAGGTCCAGAGAGGTTAAAGAGCAAGTGGGAGTATTTAATTTATACCATGTTTTTTCCCCATCCCCCAAATTCCCTTGTGCTGCCCCTTTATTTTCAGCCCCTCCCTGAACCTCATCCCCTGTAAAATCGATGATCTGTTTTCTGTCCCTACGGTGTGGCTTTTCCCCAGAATGTTATGTAAGTTGAATCATATCATAGTCTTTTGTATCTGGCTTATTGCACTTCGTACAAGGCATCTATGAGTAATCTATTGTATTGCAGTAATCAATAATTTGTTCCTTCGTACTGCCGGGTAATGTTCCATTTTCAGGCACCCCAGGCTACTGTTTCCATTGCCTCCAGTCACAACTGGGCATTCCAGAGGGAAAAAATGATACTCATATTGCTGGTTTGGTTGTACTTGGAATTCTATCTTCCTCAATCTGCCTGCTGCTATTTACTTTCCAGAGTCCTTGAACCGTTGCTGTATCCTTCTGTTCGGGTTTTATAAAGGCAATCCATGGGACCGTGGCGGGTGTGTTTGCCGACTTGCCCAGAATTGGAACCTCTGTTCCACTGTCTTTTTGCTTTTACAAAATCTGAAGTCAGTGTGTTTCCTGATCCTTGTAAATTGACTTATTTTATCTTTATGGAAACTGATAGGATCTTTTTTTTTTTTTTTTTTTTTTTTTTTTTGGTTTTCAGTATTTAGAAACTTCCCAGGGATGCTCCTTGGTTTATTTTCATTCGTTGTGTTGCGAATGGATACCATTTTGGGGCTCCCTTTATGAGTTTCATCCTGGCGAAACTCCCACGCAGCAGGTATTATCATTTCTGTTTATTTTAAATAAGGAAACTGGGGCCCAGATAGGCTAATGACATTCCCCCACGGCAGTCAATAAGAGGCGGGGCTACGATGCAAACATAGGGCCATCTTGTTCTGAGTTGCAGTGAGTCCAGCTGAACTGACCGGAGCTAACTCCAGTGAAGGTAAGTGTAGCTGAATCGATTAGCAGGACAATTTCCTCATAGAAATCCACATTGGAGAGTCACCGCCTTGGAGAATGGTGTGCTCAGGGCTAGAAAGCCTACGGAGGAGGAAATCGCTTTGCCAAAAGAAAGGAGTAGCCTACGACTCTACCCAGGACGGGGCTAGACCTGCCCATGCAGCATAAGGGACAGCACAGTGGGCACTGTCGTTGGTAATTCCTGAGGGATTCCCATCGTTGCACCAAGTACTCCCCTGGCACTCCCAGCACTCCAGAAGATGCATTTTTAAGTAAGCATGACTGGAGAGTGGGGGTGGATTGAAGGTGAGGTGTGTGGGATACGATCCTTGGATGAACTGGAGACGTCCCGTTGTTTGGTGAAGGTAGAAAAGAGTAGAACACCTGGTGGGGGCAGGTGTGAGGTCTGGGTCCTTTCTTTGGCCCCTGTAGCTCCAGACCAGTGAAGGTGATCAGACAGACAGATCACACTGAGTGAAGGGTGGGTGGACAGATGGATGAACAGATGGACGGATGGATGGATGGACGGAATTTGCCAGGTACTGGGCAAGGTGCCCGCATACCACCTTGGGGAGCAAACCCAGTGGTCTCCAGGCCCTTCCATCTCTGGCCTCTTTCTCCTTTCCAGCCTCAGCTTGCACTGGTTTCCCTTGGGCTGACACCCTTTTGGGAGGCTAATCTTTTGGCCTCCCTTCCTCACCCAGTTTCCTCCTGCGATGGGACTTTGCAGAAGCCCATCTCCCTGTGGACATCGTGGGCCCAGGTTTCAGGGCAGTCTCAGTTTTCAAATAGCAACACTTCATAAAACTAGGGTCAGAGCCTCAACTTGTATAGAGATGGGAGTCACATCCCCATAAATAAACAAACAATATTTACTAAGGGAGTTTTATTCTTTCGTTTGTAAGCAATATTAGTCATACTAGTATTAGTAAAATAACCGTTTTGTTTATTAAGGGTCGGTATTACGTCAAACGAGGTGGGGGGGGGGGGGGTGGATCACAGCAAAACGCTGACCAGGTAATGCGCAGAGAACCCTTGTGTTGCTGCGGGATGAGAGGGGCTTTCTCCTGGCCCCGCACCTCTTTTCTCCCTCAGGGTGGTTTTCCCTGCGCTCTGCGCTCTGAAGGTTTTCTCACTCCTGTAATCGGTTTTCTAAACAATGGGCACAAACTGAAAAGGGACACAGGAGGAGCCCTCACCTGGCAGCTGTGTAGAAAGGCTGGCCAGGGACTCACCCGGCAGTGTCCCCAGGATCCCCGCCTGGAACTCTCTGCAAAGCCCATGATCACGCCGTTTTCCCTAAACCACACAGACGCCAGGTCGTCGTGTGGATTTGGTTTCCACGACAAATACAGGGAACTGAGCATCTGTCCTAAATGGACCTGAACTCTGAGGCTGTGGGTTTGATAGGGGAGAATTTGGAATTCAAATCTGAAAATGGAAATGGGTGAGAGGCATCCTCCTCTCTTGTGGGTGGTCAACATTGAGAGGCAGCTAACGGGTCCGTGAGTCTGAGACTCTGGAAGACTCTACCCAGTACACTTTTCAGGAGTTGGCGGCTTTATGGTTGAGAAAGGAGGGGGGTAAAGAACAGATTCTTCCCCCAGCCCCGTGATGTGTCTGTTCTTGGCTGCTGAGGCAAGCAGGTGAACCACACTCAACTGAGCTCAGCATTATCTAGTGTTGAGGATAGGATGTAAATTATGAGTCATCTGCTAAGAGAAAAGGACGTGTAAACCTAACGGTCCTAAACTGTTGTGCCACAGACGCGGTTTACTAAGTCAAGTGAGGAGTGGGACCCCAAAGGACCTAAGTGGAGAACAAAGTTTAGGCATTGAGAAGCAGTTCCCTCATTTTCCGTGGAGAAGCAGGACTGCGGGGAGGAAAAAGGAGAAAGAGAAGCGAGACCCGAACAACGGGCCCTGTTCATATTTGCAAGGTCAGTGAGATGGTGGCCGGGGAGGCTGTGATTTATGACCACGTCTGTGCCTCCGCCCGCAGATCTGAGACAGAGTGAAATGACACTTCCACCCTGATTCGAAAGCAGCAAGGGCTGGCTGCTCGAAAAGACAGGCAGGGAAGGAGAGAATCTAGGATCGATACACACCTCATCACAGGATCACAGAGCAGCCGCTAAAAAGCCTTGAGGGTGATTTGGAAGAGAAACAATAAAGCAGAATTTGATGGACTTCCTAACCAAGAGCAGGAGACTGGTGCAGTTTTCTTTAGACCTGTGTTTTTCAAAATTACAGACTGTGCCCGTTAGTGTTTCATAAAATCAATTCAATGGGTCCTGCCCAGCAACTGAAAAAGGAAGGAAGGAAGGAAGGAAGGAAGGAAGGAAGGAAGGAAGGAAGAAGGGGGAGGGAGAAAGGGAGGAAATAGGGAGGAAGGAAGATAGGGAGGAAGGGGGGAGGGAGGAGGGAAGAGAGGAAGGGAGAGAGGGAGGAAGGGAGGGGGAAGGAAGTACCCCCTCAAGGAGTCCCTTGGGAATGAAATGGAGGCAGAGGCCCAGGAGGGGGTGTCTATCTTGATGTGGCTTTTGCAAAGAAGGAACGGATTTCTGAGTTTCTTCCAAGTGTTCATTCACTTCAGAGAAAGTGACCACACAGGCAAAGTTCAGGCTCCAGAGAAGGAGAGAAGTCAGTAATCTTAAGCAAATGGATTTATGGCCAGCTGCTTCCAGCAAGGTTTGTGAAAGCTGGAAAAATCTTCACGGAAAAAGAAATATAAAAGAGAAAGGGTAGTTAGGAGTAGCCATTTCCCAAGGACACACAGACCTGACACTCCATGTCCCCAGCTCCTGTCCCACCTGTCGCTACCAGGCACAGAGACCTCGCTGTAGGGAAGGTTGGCACAGCATCGTTAAGGGACTTAGCTGAAGGTGGACAGGAAAACGCTGTCACGAGAGACGGTCTGAGGAGATCATCAAGGAGTTCTAGAAAGTGCAAAGGCTTGAAAAGTTCAGGTCCAAAACGCCGAAGCAAGAAATGAATTTTGACTTGGAAAGAAATGAAGGAAAACAGAAAAACGCTCTCCAAATCAGAACAGGAGAAGGCTAAAGAAGTCTGATCCTTCATTTGGAAAGGAAGAGAAAATGGGTCATAGCCCAGGAGGAAGAGGAGAGGCAGACGTGGGCTCCAGACCACCTAGAGAGTTGGGGGGCGGCAGTCTCCTTACTAGGGAGGGGAGGGCCGGTCTCAGCTTGGTTTGCGG